CTTCTAAGAAGCCTCCCCCCCTCCCTCCACCCCCTTGTGCGCGCCGCCAAGAGAAAGACGAGGGTGCCCGCGCGCGGGGGGGTGGAGGGGAAAGCAACGGCAGCAGTTAGTTACACGGATGGAGGCAGCTCCGCTCTAGAGCGGGGCTCCCCCGTAGGACTCCGCCGAGAGCCACCTGTAGCAGCCACCTGCACCAGACACGATAGTCTTGGCCTGCCTCGCCGACGCGCTCATGGTTTCCCTCCCTGGCCTCCTCTTTCCCTGGACCCCCTCAGGCAATGCAAAACATCAGGACGCGAGGCCTTTCCATACTTTCGGCCTCCGGAGGCCCTCATGGGGCCGCGGGACCGTCTAGACACGACTCGGGATGAAACGACGATCCAGGGGACTGGCCCGAGACTTTCAATGGGTCGACGTAATGACAGAAACAAAACAAATCACGACATCGGGGGTCTGGGGCTCTTCTCCTTCCCCTTTGCGCCTCGCAGCCGCGCCTTCAAGGGGCTCCCAGGCTTCGCAGGCTGGCCTGGGAGGCGTCTGGAAGGACTCGAGGCCGCTTCGGGTTGAGCGCCCTCCAGAGGTCCTCTGCGGGCCCCGAGACCTAAAGCAAGGCATGCCACAATCTGCGGCACGACATCCATGCAACAATCGGGTCGTCTAGATTCGACGGTCCACGTGGTGTCAGATCTTGCCGTTGAGCATTCGCAGTCCAGATCCTGATCGCCGCCACCATCCTCTGCCGTCCCTCCCCCTGTATCACTGCTCTTGCTCATATCCTGATGGTGCTGCTGTTGGGTAACTACATATTCCCACGCTGCGCTCTCCTTCTAGGAGGGATGAGGTGATCGTTTTCTTGTCAATTGTTCTACCGATCGGCACGGGCCCTCGCACCCCTCCCCCCCACCTGTCGTAGATCTTGGCTGTTTTGGGCGCCCGCTTCAATCAGGTGGAGTCTCTCACCCATAATTCAGTCGCACTTTGGCAAACAGTCGCGCTAAGAAGAGATCCAGAGCCAGACCCCCCCCCCTTCCCCCCCCCCTTCCGCCCATAGGACGCACTGTGGCAAACAGTCGCGCTAAGCAGAGATCCGGAGCCAGATCCCCCCTCTTCCCCTTTCCCTTCCGCCCAATGCCGAAACGCCGAGTAAGAAAACACTCACAAGGGAGGAAGACCTTTCCCCAGCGGAGGTGTCCGTCCTGGCTGGCAGCCTTCGGGGCCGCGGAGGGGAGAGGGGGTGGAAGCGGGGGGCAGAAGGAGGAGAAGAAGGAGGAGGAGGAGGAGAAGGAGGCAGGAGAAGGAGGCAGGAGGAGGGGAGGAGGAGGAGGAGGAGGAGGAGGAGGAGGAGGAGGAGGCAGGAGGAGGAGGAGGAGGAGGAGGAGGAGGAGGAGGAGGAGGAGGAGGAGGAGGAGGAGGAGGAGGAGGAGAGGGAGGAGCGGGAGGAAGCGAGGGAGGAAGGCCTTTCCCCGCCTTTCCCCGCCTGCCATCGCGCCCGGCTCTCCCCAGACGCACGTGCGCGTGATCGAGCACGGCCTGTGGCGGGGCCCGGGCCCGGTGGCCGGCGGCGGCCTTGCGCCGCCGCGGGCGGCCCTGCTGCCCGTGTGCCGGCCAGGGGATCGACTACAGAATCGATTCACCCCAGGATTGGTTTTCTCGTCGAGTGATACGCAGACTGTTTTTGTAGTTCTACGGCCGCTCGGCGCAGTTCTCGCGGATCCGGCGAGCAAGGCAGGTCAGGGGCGAGCCGGTTCTGTGGTCGATGCCCTGCTCGAGTGTTCCTAGTCTGCTGCTTCCAGCGTCGTCGGGGCCGTCGCACCCGGGAGGTCGGTGCTGGTATTGTCGATGCCTTCGCTGCGCTGTCGTCGGTGCCTCCTTATTAGATATGCCATGAGGGGGCCTTCCTAGGGCCCACCTAATGGACCGAAGGCAACTCGACACGGTAACGGCGGCGGGATGGCTGAAAATTTTGCGGGCGCCCCCCAGTTTCCGATCCCGGGCCCCACTTACCATCGCTTCTCTTGCACATCACGAGCTGCGGTCGGGAGCCTTTGCTTAGCGCGTCGCGGCGGCGGCCCCAGCGACGCGATGTGTCTTGCAAACTGATCTCGTGTCGCTCCGCTCTGCGGTATCATCTAGTCCACACGTCAGCTCCGCAAGCTCTGGGTTGACGCTTGCGCGGCGACGCTCCGGCTCAGTCCGACGTAAATCCGACGTAGTTCCGACGTAGTCCGACGTGAGCCCGACGTGAATCCGACGTGGATCAAACGTATCTTGGGGCTCAAGTTGCCGCGCGAGGCCTCCAGGATTTTCCGCGTGAGTTTCCGTATTGGGACTCGGGTAGCGTGTCGGGCCGACGCGTGGCGGGCCACCCATGAGCCGCGCGGCACGCTGAGCCACCATCGTTGACCGTGAGCTACCCCAAGCAAGACTCTTCACGCAGAACCGAGCCACATCCGCAAGCCCACCAGCCGGCGCACCTCACGCCTGCATGCGGCCCCCCCCCCCTGTCGGCGGCGAGGGTTCCCCTCTTCGGGGCCTCTTGCGCCCCTCTTTGGAGCATCTGGGGCTGTCTTGGGCGTTCGTGTCCAGGAACCTCTTGGGCCGCCCTGGAGGTTCAGGAGGTCGGGAAGTCCAGTATGCGGAGGCCACGCAACACTTGTTGCCAACCATCCTGTGGTGTCGGGCCCTCGTTTTGAGAGACAGTCCCTTCGTCCACTCCCCTCTCCTTCTCCCGCTTCTCCCTCCGTCTTCTCTCGCTTCTCCCTCCTCCCGTCACCCCCCTCACTTTGGCACATCCCTCACAGTTCTCGTGGCTCCATAAGGGAGCTACACCTGAGGCCCCAGTGGCTGCGCCCGCATGCCGTCACCCCCGGATTTGGGCACATCCCTCACACTCCTCGTGGCTCCAGAAGGGAGCTACACCTGAGGCTCCAGTGGCTGCGCCCGCGTGCCGCCACCCCGTCACTTCGGCACACCCCATTACACATTTCGTGGTCCCACAGGGGGCTCCAGCTAAAGCTCCAGTGGCTGCGCCCGCATGCCGCCACCCCTCCACATCTTGATGCACCGCTCACACGCCTCGTGGCCCCATAGGGAGCTCCACCTGAGGCCTCACTGGCGGCGCTCGCATGCCGCCGCCCCTTCATTTTTTGTACACCGCTCACACGTCACGCCCCACACGCCTCCGAACAGGAGGAGGAGGAGGAGGAGGAGGAGGAGGAGGAGGACGACGACGACGACGAGGACAAGGAGAAGGAGAAGGAGGGGGGAGGGAGGAGGAGAGAAGGAAGAGGAGGAGGACGACGAGGAGGAGCAGGAGGAGGAGGAGGAGGAGGAGCAGGAGGAGGCGGCGGCACACAGAGCTCCACCCAGGGGGCCCCGCTGGCTGCGCCCGCATGCCGCCGCCCCCTTACCTTTTGGCCCACCCCGCTCCGGCCGGCCTCCCCGCCCCGTGCGGCCTGCCCCGGCGGCAGCCCCCGCACGGCGGCCCCGCTCCACTCCGGCGCGCGCCTCGCGCACTCGCACTTCGCGGCTCCGCCGGGAGCTCCGCCGATGGCGCCTCTCGGACATGGCGATGCCCACAACACTGCCCATGGCCGGGTCGCTCTAGCTGGGACGACGCTTGGAGATTCTACCTCCTCTCTCTCTCTCTATCTCATTCTCTCTCAAAACTGCACATGGCTGGTTCGCTCGCTGGGACAACGCTTTGAGATTATACCTCTTCCTCTCTGTCTCTCTCGTTCTCTCTCTCTCTCTCTCTTTCTGCGTGAGTGTGAGTGTGAGTGTGTGTGGTTCGGGACTTTTGGGGCCGACCCCCAAAGGGGTTGAGGGCGGCACAGGAAGCCCCAAAAGGGGGCCCCAGGACGGCGTCGTGAGGAGCCATCTCTAGGGAGGCGTGGGCTCCGAGAGCCACGCTCCCGAGAGGCCTCTTGAAATGTCTCGCGGTCATCCCTCCTCCTCCTCGTCCTCCTCCTCCTCGTCCTCCTCCTCCTCCTCCTCCCGAGGCCTCTTGAAATGTCCCTCCCCATCCTTTATCCTCGAAGCGTTGCCAACTCGTTTCGGCGTTGTTCTGTTGTTGTGTTTCGACTCTGTGGGAAAGAATAAGAGGATGTGAACGACGATGTGCAGGACGAGGGGTGTATCTGTGCCTCCTGTAGTGACATGGTCTGAGGCTGTATGGGGGTTTCTTGTTGAGTAGACGAGGTGTTCCTCCACCTTCGCTTCATCATCCTTGCTCTATTCTCAACATTACGAACCGCATCGCCATCGTTATCATCAGCATGATCTTCATCATCACCATCACCGTCACCGTCACCATCACCATCACCGTCATCATCCGTTCTACCCACTCGTGGTCATCACCATCATCATTGATCATCATGAGCATGATCATCATCAGCAGCAGCGTCGTCATCATTATCAGCATCAGCATCCTCATCCGTTTCCTCATCATCATCACCATCATCAACATCAACATTAAATACCCCAACAACAGCCTCGATATCAACATCAACGTCAACATCAACACCGGCATCATGCTCATGATCATCATAAACACTGTCACCGTCAATACCATCGTCATCATCATTGTCATAATCATCAGCATTATCATTATCATGATCTTCCATAGCATCACTATCACCAACATTCATCGTCATCATGAGCATAACCATCACAATCATCATCTGCAGCATCATCATTTCCATCAGTATCATCCTCATCATCACCAGCACTCATCATCAGCATCTCCACCATCATCATCAACATCATCATCATAATAATTATCATCACCATCATCACCATCATCATCATCATCAGCATCATCATCATCATCATCATCATCATCAGCATCGTCACCCTCATCGTCATCATCTGCACCATCATCAGCAGCACCGTCACCGCCCCCTGTCTCAACCTGATTCCCCTCTTCCCCCCTGCCCCTCACCATCTCCTCGCGCAGCCATCTTGGCCCACGCCAGTTTAGCTCGAAGGCGCCGCAGCTCATGGCCGCTGGCCGCACGCCGTCCGTGCTCCTTCGCTGCCTGCGGCGGGTCCACACCCGGAGCGCCCTCGTTCCGTCCTCGGTGCTCCTCGGCGCTGGGGCCGCCGCGGGGGGCGCCGCGCTGGCGGAGTGGCGTGAGCTGAACGCTCCTCGGGAGTTGGCGGCGGAGCGCACGCTGCCCGACTCGAGGGCGGGCTCGCTTCTCGCCGCCGTCCGGCTGCCGATGCTGTTAGACGAGGGCGAGATCGAGGAGGTCCTGGAGCTCGGCAGAGAGGTGAAGGCAGCCGGCGGGGCAACAGAGTACCGTCTTGGAAGCAGCGCCCACTCAGTTGTGCGCAGCGCCGATGCGGGCAGCGATCCCGCCTCTGCATCATCGTCGTCACCTTGGCACACGACATTCTTGCACACTGGCCATTTGTTTCAGCAGCGCCTTCCCGCCCTCAGTCTAAAATTGCGACAAGCCGTCCTCAGCACGGATGGTCTCAATTGGGGCATCTGCAGAAAAGCTGCAGCATCGCTGAGCGGAAGCAACGTTGCGGGTGAGCCATTGGACGAAGTGAGAATGCGGACCATCGAGCTGCACGAAGTGGGCCCTGGAGGAGCTCTTCCGCAGCGAGATCATGTTGATTCTGGGTCATGCGTGACCTTAGATGTCATGCTCTGTCGACCGGGCGTCGATTTCGAGGGTGGCGCCTTAGAGCTACCGCCAGCGATAGATGTTGCGAAGCCGGGGGTGTTCCCTGAGTTTCTACAAGGGGACGCGCTGGTGTTTCCTAGCCACAAATTTCATTGCGTACATCCGGTTTCTTCTGGCTTGCGACGGGTTTTAGTAATCGAATTCTGGTGCGGTGAGGATCGATCATGTCCGCACCGCTGCCACCAGCATTACGGGACTTGCAAGGCCGCGGGTGGCGGCAGCCGTTGGCAGGACCAGGTGCATCGCCTTTGCATGGCATCCGCCGTTGAAGATCCAGTTAAACCGTGGTGACTCCAGGGCAATGATCATGTGCCTTTCGACGAGTTGTCATTCGATTGCGCGCAGGAGTGGAGGTAACGCTGCGCTGTCCACCTCAGGGTCTACATAACACATGCTGCTGACGGCCTGCGACTGAACATTTCATCATCAGAGCCTCAGTTCGCTATCTTCTAAACAATGCTTCCCCTGAGCGACGAGCGATACAAGGTTTCTCTGATGTCATAAGACACGCATACTGGAGCAACGGACAAGTAGGTTATTCGTGGAGAACCTGCCGTACTATGTGCCACAATGTTTGGCGCTTCTTTTTGCAGACTGCAATACATAGTCATACAGCGATCGATCTTGGGAGGCCAAATTCTGCATTGGTGCTGGTATATAGCGAGGGTGGCGGCGGCGATCAGGCAGGTTTGGGATGAGGATGAATCGCTCCAGAGCGGGGACGCTCTCAAAGCAATCCGGAGCGCTCGGGAATGGTCGCGGCGCCGGGTGCGTCCTCCAGTCCCGCTGGTTTACAGAGTCTTCAGACTTTTCTTTGACATCTTATATGCAAGGGCTTTCTGTTGAGGCTGTGCGCAGATGCCTGTTCTTTGGCGGCGCGCAGAGGGGGGGTGATAGAGGGGGGAAGGCTTCTTAGAAGCACCTCTGCTTCTTAGAAGGCGCGGGCCTTGTCTGTAACTGGAAGGCCCGCGGCTTCTAAGAAGCAGCCTCCTTCTCAGAAGCCGTCCCCCCTCCCCCTGTCCCCCTCTGCGCGCCGCCAAGTTCTGCTGAGCACAGCTATCGCTGAACAGTGCAGTGCTGCATGGGGCATCCTGCCGCAAGGGTGTCACCCGAGGCGGGGACTTTTCACAGCCACCGCCTGTGTGGGATCGCCCTGCGGTGGCCTCGGCGGGCAGGGGATGTATGGAGATGTTCGGTCCCCCGTTGGGCCGACGTGTGCTCCGCTGAGGTCTCAGGACGTCGTCGGTTCTCCAGGCGATGGACATGGGCACATCCCCAGGGCTCGTTTCGACTCCCAGTTTGGATTCGATTCGATTTCCATGGCTTCCGATTCCGACTCGATTCGATTTCGGATTTCGATTTGGATCTCGATTTCGTAACGGGGTCCTGATAGCCTGCCGATTCCAGCCGATTCGACTTCTCCTGACTCGGCTGCCGATGCCTGACGATCATATTCATCTCGATCGCCGACCCGATTTGTCGATTCGATTCTGGTGTCTCCTGCATTCCCGCCTCGCATCTCGTGGCCTCATCCAGATTCATCCTCGCCCTGGCTTCGTCTCAGGCGACGGCCGAACGAGGCGGCACCGTCCGCATTTAGGGGAGGGCACCTCCCCCAATCCATGGATTTGGCGACCGCTCGCCACATCCATGGATCGCTAATCCATGTTTGCGCCCCCCGAACTTTGGCATCATCACTCTCGTAGCCAGGCGCACTCACAGCATACCGCGGATGCGCAATGAAAGCGGCGCTCGTGCCCGGCGCTGCCGGCCTGCAAGGGACCACCAGCAGCGCGCTTCCCTTCATAGATGCCAGCGATCATCGATCGGGTGAGCCCAGCTGTGGGAAGCCAATCCCGCACTCGATGCGATTCTGGGGACTCCCACATCTCCGCCTCTGTGCCTCGTGGCCTCATCCAGGCTCATCCCTCGCCCTGGCCTCGTCTCAGAGCGACGGCCGCGGCGGCGGCGGCGGGTCGGCAGCGCCGTGGGCCGCCCGAGACCGTCCCCTCCTCCTCCTCCTCCTCCTCCTCCTCCTCCTCCTCCTCCTCCTCCTCCTCCTCCTCCTCCTCCTCCTCCTCCTCCTCCTCCTCCCCCCCTGGGGGGGGAGGGTTCGACGTCCGCTCCTCACGGGAGCCCTAGGCGGCGGCATGGCAATCCGCTTTGCTTCCTGCTCTGGGGCCGCAGTCGTCGTTGCGCCAACATCGCAGAGCGGAGTTCGCTCGCAAAGCACTTGGGTGGGCCCGGAGTGTCCTGGGGAATCGTTCCGGATTTCGAGGTGAATTTCGTGCGGAGCGGATTTGTTTAGGCCAGGAATGAGGACTATAGAAAATGCATGTGAAATTCACTTCGTTTTTCGTTCGCAGTTTTCGATGTTTCCATGGACAGAAGTCCACACCAAATCCGCTGCAGCACGCCTGCAAGGTCGGTGCCATGAGATTCGGCCCTTTCGTCCAACCCATCCTCGCCCTCTCTGTTGCTCCCCACCCTCTTCGTTCTTTTTGTCTCCGTGCTGGCAATGGGCGAATCCGGGCCAAGTCTGGTCCACATGTGCAGTCCCGAACGTGTTCCAAACCCGGTCCAAGTCAGTCCCAAGTCAGACAGCAACGGGGACCACGTAAGGTCCCATGGAGCGGATTTGCACGGCAAAGCCCACCTGCTTCCAGAAGACCAATATCTTGGGCATATGCCAAATACCAGTCTGGCTTTCTAGCCACAAGCGTCTATAGACACAAGTGGTGTCGTCACGTATGTAGACACATTCGGGGTGGATGGTCTAATAGACAATGCGTTTTCCCTCCCGGAGCAGTACGAGATCGGAGGAAAGGTAGATCCGTCTACGGTATGGCCCTGTTCGAAAGCAGCTCCTACGTGGTACAGCCAAGACGCTGAAACAAGGACAGCTTTGGGCTCAGGAGCGGATCAAGGCTACCCTTGTGTCCTGTGCCTCGCGACCAATGCCTTCTGACATTCATGGCACTGTGGTCCTCGGAAGGGTCTCTTGTGTATCCTCTCGCGTGTCCTCTCCATTCAAGCTCGGCTGTATTCCAAGAGCGGCGGCGGAGGAGGAGAGGAGGAGGAGGAGCAGGAGGAGGAGGAGGAGGAGGAGGAGGAGGGGGAGGAGGGGGAGGAGGAGCAGGAGGAGGAGGAGGGGGATGAGGAGCAGGAGAAGGACCAGGAGGAGGAGCAGGAGGAGGAGGAGAAATAGGGGGAGGAGGGGGAGGAGGGGGAGGAGTGGGAGGAGTGGCAGGAGACGGAGGAGGAGGAGCAGGAGGAGGAGGAGGACGGGGGGGCGGGCTGCAGGCCAGCGGTGTCGCCGCCGGTGGGCGCCGCGCTCGTGGAGGCGCGGCCGCTCACCGGCCGCACCCACCAGATACGGCTGCACCTGGCGCAGGCGCGCCGCCGCGAGGACGGCGAGGATGGCGAGGGCGCTGCGGGGATCGAGGGACCCAGAGATCCGACGCTCCCCAAAAAGATTGGAGCGGGCGGCTTTTTGGCCGTGTGCGGCCTCCAGGGGCCCTCGCCGGGCCTCGGGAGCGTCAAGGCACGACTCGGCAGGAGAAGCTGGCCCCGGAGAAGTGGTCCAGTCGACAAAAATTTGAGCGGCTTGATGAATGGGGAGGGCGATTCGGGGATCAAGAGACGGGGGGTCAATGCAAACGGAGGTCAGCCAGAGCGCCAGATCTGGCAGGATCCTGCAAAGCCAGGGTTGCAATGACCCAGGCTTGGGCGCAGGATCCTGCAGGATCCTGCAGGATCTTGCAGGAGCCTGCAAGGCCCGACGACCAGGGTTTGGATTACCCCGGATCAGTGGGTCCCCGAATGATGCCGAGGGCGGTGATCATGGCGACGGCGATGGCAATGTTGATGATGATGATGCTGATGGTGATGAAGGCGGGGGTGGTGGTAGTGATGACGATGATGATGACTGTGGTGATGATGATGTTGCAAATGATGACGATGATGATGCTGTTGATGATGATGCTGCTGATGATGCTGACGATGACGATGACGACGATGATGATGATGGTGATGATGATGATGGTGATGATGATGCCAATGATGGTGATGATGATGATGATTGGCGGTTTGTAATTAAACACGTTGTGCAGAAGTCAGCAAGCCGACAGGGGACGGACGTGGGTCCGTCACCGTTTTTGCTCAAGCTTTTAATTTGCGGCCTCGCCTATGCAATCCCTCGGGCACATTCTCTCGGGGGCCCACCACCTGGCCGCCATCGCCGGCGGGGTCGCATCGCAGTGGGCGAGCCAGGCCGGCAACTGTGTGGTGATCGCCAACAGCATCGGCGACTTGAGGGTCGCCTTCATCTTTCTCTTCGCCGCAGGTGTGTTCCTGGGCTGCATCGGAGGGTGTCTCTGCTGCAAAGGTCTGGCTCTGAGCCATGGCCGCCTGGCGAGCTGGTCACAGGATCGGAGTCTTGTGGAAGGACGGAGAAGACTGGCAGACGCGCGTGCTCCTCTGTCCTGGTACTACCGCCGACGCCGAGAGCGATCTCCAGATGACTGGCTTGAAAGCAGCGGGGAAGAACGGCAACATATGGTACGCTCTCACACCCGACGGGGACGTGTACATTCACGTGCTGGAACCCCCCGGAGTCCAGGGATCGGCGCTGTGCGATCAGATGGGCCTGCCCGAGCGGAGCGGGCCCTTGCAGTTCGGGAGGACGTGGCGAGCAGGCGGCAGGATCTACGGACAGGAGTGGACCCCGACGCCAGAGGAATTCGTCGACGCGCTGCAGTTCGCTCTGGGCGGTTCCTTCTTCGAGGCAGCCCCGCAGGTGGCGGACAAGACGGTCTCAGTGCTGCGACGGATGAGCAAGAAGGGGCCGTTCCCAGCTGGCGCGGTCTTGGCTGGGGGAGCTCCTCCGAGTAGCTTTGTGCGTGGCTCGGGTGCCCTGCCATCTGCGGTGGGGATGCGCTGGCAGGTTCAGGCCGCCAGTGGCCCAACACCCGAGCGCCGCCCGCTGCAGGACTACGACGTGGACGAGTACTGCACCGCGGGCGGCTTCGCGCTGGCATCTCAGGAGGGGGAGCTGCTCCTGCTGAGGGAGGTCGAGAAGTCCTCGCCAGAGGACGACACGGAGGTGGACGCCAGGCTCTTGCCGCTCGTGGAGGTCGAGGGCGTCCGCAAGCGGCACTTCAAGGTCTCGCTCAAGGGGCTCACCGAGACGGCCTGGCGAGAGTGGCCCGTGCGCGGGCCACGTACGACTGTCTGGTGCGCCAACTTCGTGGGTGACCAGGACAGCCACCCACGCTCGAGGCACACCAGGT